ACCGATGAGCTTCATAAAAATCGACACGTTTCAGAAAGGCGGGGCATAGAGGAGAAACAATAATGTACAGTATGTGGAAAATAATGTGTTTTTTGAACCTTAAACCGCATAAACACATTTCATTACACCAAATACACAAAATAATGTTCTTTTTGGCAACATCATATGACCCCTTTAAATAATTTTGGGAAGCAAACATGTACTGTTTTTTTGTTTTTTCGACATGTTACACATCAACTATTCACATATATTGCAAAGCACAATTACTATGGTTTATCAAAGTAACACACACAAAAATAAATAAATAAATAATTTAGTGTTTCAAAGTTCCAAATTCATTATTAATGTCTCTACTGTCACTTTTGAACATTATAAATGTTCAAGTATGAATCTACTATAAATCTAAAATAAAATCCCCAAAATTTGGAACAGTGATGTACTTTTTAGGAATAACACAATGTAATGCATTTTTTTAATGCAACACTGGTTATTAATAAACTACTCTAAATCAAATGTAATAATGCAATCGCACCATGCTTGACACCTGCAGAGCCGAGTCTTCCAGGATGCTCTTTGCTCCCTCCATGACTGCCATATATGAAAATCGAAGCTGATCTGGGGTTTGGATAAGGCCCATTCGATACTCTCTCATATCTAACAAAACCTTTTGAATGTCCACAGACAAAGGGTCTTTCCTCTTGTCCATCTACAAATACAAAACAACAATGAAATATCAGTTAAACAGAACATTATATTGAACAGGATAATGAAAATCTTCTAACCCAGGGTTAAAAAAAATGATTACAGTCTCACATAATGAACGTAATAAATGATGATGTGCTGTAAAACCTTTAGAATCATTCAATATTTTGTAACCGCAGTCTTACCAAAACTAGGCAGGTGTCAACCAATGAGAAAGTCCCAGATCTCCCTATCCCTGCACTGCAGTGGACCACGGCAGGTCCGTTCTCTGGCCCCAATGAGCCGGACTCTCGAACCTTGAAAAGGAAGTTGAGGAATGATGCTGGGGACTCTGGCACGCCAAAATCAGGCCACGTTGTATAATTAAAATGGTAGATCTCTCTGGTTTCTCCTGTCTAAAAATATGGGACAAAATTTAAAACCACATTTATTTTTTATGGTTTGTTTAGAGAAGTATTCAATGACGTAATAATTTAACATTACGTTCACCTTGCCATTTTTTAGTTCTAATAGTCTGATTGTGTAATTCGGTTTGACATCCTCAGACACCAGAGTCACCACAAACCCAGTGTCACTGAAATCCATGTCTCGCTCCTGCTTTGATGGCCAGTACTGCGCACACTTCTCCTGTTCAGATTGAACAAAAACAGCAAAAAACATATCAAAATGAATTCATTTTGTTTGTTTTCCCCCCCCACTAAGCAAGCAAATCCACATTACTATTCATCAGCTTAATACATAATAATGAATTATAATTTTTTTAAATTTTTTTTTTTTAGTAAAAGTCTTTACTATCACTTTTCATCAACTAATGCATCCTTGCTAAATAAATGTAGTGATATTTTTTTTAATATAACAACTTGCGGACCACAAGCGGTTTCTTTCTTTTAAATGAAAATGTTAATAAATGTAAAAACAATGCAAGGCCAAGAACAAGCATTGTTTGTGTTCACTCACCGAGCCTTTTTCTATAACTCTGTTAAGCATAATAACGGCTTTGCAACGTTGTTCCCAAATCATTTGCCAGAAGTGACCACAAGTGTTCCTCAGTGGGCCCTGCAGAAAGAGAAAAGTGTCTGCAATTACATTAGAGAATACACAAACAAGCTGGTCAATGCAAAAGAAATGCATGTAACATTCAATTACAATCTTCGAGACATTCTTCTTTGTTCTACAAAAGGCTGTAAAGGATGTTAAAAAAAACAGGTTTCATGATGCTAAACACAAATTCAATAAAAACAGGGGAAACATGTAAAACAAATTTGTTGGTATATATGAACCGCATGTAAATGTGTATTGAGGTCACATGGGACATCAATGCAAGTCAGCTAAATGCAAACAGTGGACTTACTTTTTCCATTACTGCCATACCTGTGTCAATATGTACCTTCTCTGGGCCTCCTCCATGGTAATTAGGCTCGCATTTATGTAGTCATTCTCTGAATTTTCTAATCTCACCCGACTGTGATCATCTTAACACAAAAATTCAGGTTATTCAGGGAGAGTCGACAAATATTTTGGCAATTTGTGTTAAATTCATCTGAAATCAAGATTAAGCTTACAGAAAAAAAAGCTTTTAAGGACTTTTTTAATAAAACAAATAATCACTGTCATTCAAATCTGTTTGGCTGCCTTACACATTAAGTCGCTATTGACTCACTACATTTTTCCTTTATACAATGAAAGTGAATGGTGACTGAGGCTGTTATCCTGAGGCTATAACATTTCCTATTTAAAAAAAAAAAAAAAAAAAAGTCATACAGATGTGAAACAAAATGACGCTGGCTAAATAATGATACAAGTTTAAGTAAACTGTCCTTTTCAGGGCAAGGTTACAAAATGAGTGAAACATTGTTAAAGTGGATTACATGGAAGAAACTTACAGGGACTGACGTCTCTATATCTATTCCTATTGCGATTTTCTGGGAACTTTGCCACTTTGTAGGGACACTCCTGAGACTGGTTACGGATTTCCTAGAAAGAGATTACAAAATAACAAACATCAGTGTGAAAACCCTAAGAGCCATCCCTTTAAAAAGAAAAAAAAAAACACCACTCCACGCTCATATACAGGTGCATCTCAATAAATTAGAATGTTTTTTTTTATTGGTCTTATGGAGTATTCTAATTTGTTGAGATAGTGAGTTGGTGGGTTTTTGTTAAATGTGAGCCAAAATCATCACAATTAAAAGAACCAAAGACTTAAACTACTTCAGTCTGTGTGCATTTAATTTATTTAATACACGCGTTTCACAATTTGAGTTGAATTACTGAAATAAATGAACTTTTCCACGACATTCTAATTTATTGAGATGCACCTGTATTACATGACATGTAAAACATGCATATAAACTTTTCTTTATATTTTTAATATGACAAAAGGAGGCTGAAATGTTATTAAAATATAAATAAAGAACAAATAAATCGGTCAGAATAAAATATACTCAGCCAAATAAGGGGGGTTGGGCATGTAGGACTATCTGGCTGAGTTATACAGAACTGACAGCTTCGGTTCTTCAGTTCTTGGGAAGTGCTCGTCAGTTCTCAGAAACCATATCAGTGCATGGAGGTGTGTCAAAACCTAGCGAGCTCCCTAACTTGACGGCATTTTTGAGTATCACAGATGCACGCGGGGGGTTTTGAAGGCGGCAGAGATCAGATGACATTTAGGGTGATAGGACTTGAAACGCATATGGTGCCTAAAAAAAACTAACGTGAAACTGTGATGTCTTGAAATGCTGTCTAGGTAGATAGCTCACGAGGTATTGAGTCGCAGCCCACGTGTTCACAGGAAGCTGCTCTAATGCACCGCACTGTGACATGACCACTCACGCACTTCACATTGCTGGCCTTTACTCAGAGTAAACAAGTTATTTTAACGCATGAGAATTCGCTGTATGGTTTTATTCGTTTTGCTTGTTGACAAGAATTAAACATAATAAACCGATTGAGTTCTAAATCATTGTAAAACCATTTCCACTCACGTTCGGGTTTACCCGAGCTGAAGTGATTCACAAAAGAAGATTATTTCAGATGTAGCTGCGGGCAGTAAATTCATGCGGACCGTATTTCTCGGTATTACGCGCATGCGCTGTAACGCAAACTTGAATTACCCATTCGTTCTCACGGCCCGAGTACGTTACTTGCATAGGACTAACGTTATTAGATAAACATTACAAATCTATCAGGGTAGAATACAGCAGATTTCCCAAGCGTTCATCCCAAGAACGGCTTAAATTTAATCATTCAGAAGAACCGTATGACTTACATTATAAAGGTTTTGCCACTGTCCAGATGAATCGATGTTCTCAAACTCCTGATCCATTTTTTCCCGAAGCGGGGTTATTCAAACGGGAAATGGTTAAATCATATGTCGTCTGAGCTCAAACGAGGGGTCACTATTCCAATGTTAAAATTTGTCATGATCCCGTGAAAACGGCAAGAAACGGTGCAGTGCGATGTTAACCCTCATCAAAGAGGATAAAATTACCAGCACTTTCAGCACCCCCGTCGGCTACTTCCGTGTGCCAGAGGAGAGCGACAAAACAGCGCCCTCTGTCGACAAGAGTCGACATGGCTACCTCGATTACTTCCAGGTGGGAGACTCATACAAGTGTTTCGAATCTTTTGAATCATTTCACCAAAACGATTCATTCACTGACTCTTTGAGAAGGCTGTACTATGTAAGTTTGTGTAACGAGTGGGTCATTCACTCAAGTCATTCACCAACAAAATGTCACGATCTTTTACTAAATTTCCTCATTTACAAATCAAGTTTTTCCACAAATGTCAACTAAGCTCATTTTTTCCGCCATCCCCATTCACCAACTTAGAGCATGCCTTTTCAAGCTATAGCAGAAAGACAATATTAAGCATAAATTTAAAAAAAAAAGCACACTAGCATTACTATTTCTGTCACATACAAAAACGTTATGAGGCAGAACTATTAAAGAGTAATACGTTCTGAATTACACCGAAGTAAGCGATACATTTCCGAATTACACCGATTCGTTCACAAATGAAACACTACTTCCAGGAAAATTATTGAAAAGATGTCTTCGTCCTTTTAATTTATTGATCATTCTCTCTTTTTAACTTCTTGTTTTTTGAAGTCATGGAGTAAATAGATTACATTATATTACAACTTACATAGGTTGATTAAAACTTTTGCATTGAACTGCGATCGAGAAAGGGTGTGTTTGAAAGTGCACGTGATACATTTAGGTTTTTTTCTTGCGCTACACGTGCTAAACAGCTGCTTCTTATGAATCGCTAATAAGATAATGCTTTTATCCCCCTCACACCTCGCAACAATCCCCATGTCACACACGATTGCATAGACTGGCTGTCTGTTTGGTAGTATATCCAGCTCAAGTTGTTGCTTTCATATTTATGGCCTTATCTACTTTTAAAATGAGGGGGGAAATTTTTACTGCCTTTGCGTTGGTGATGTGTTTGTTTTGTTTGGGTAAGTCAGTAATTTCCATGGAATTTGAGAAGTAGCCTATATAGTTTTATTCTAACATGTTTTGAATGGATTTTTGTTAACCATTTATATCCATACTACTACATTTTTAAGTAGAATCATACCAATGTGATTAAGTCCCTTTGTATGTGCAATATGAGCGATTAATAGCTTTAATGGCATTTGGAACCGTTAACAACATGAAATGCGACCACACCATACACACCTGTTTGTGCCATAGAGAATAATGCACTTTAATTTCTCTTTGCTTGCAGGACAAACGCTTGAGTGCTTTCGGTGTGAGCTTGGATTCTGGGATGTGTGTTACACTACCAAGACAAACTGCAGTGATAATGAATTGTGTTCTGTGGGAATTGGTAAAGCAGGTAAAAGTGATTCTAAAGTTAAGTTTTTGGGGTATCTTTTTATATATATATATATATATATATATGTATATAAACCCGTCTACCTTTGTTACTCCGCTATCCTTTCCCTTTGGTTTTTCAGCTTCTGTCCTGAATATAAAGGTGATGGGTTGTCTTCCCATGGAGGAGTGCAACAAGACAACAGTTGTAGAGTTCCTTGCCAATAAGACCTTATACACCTTGAAGACCACCTGTTGTGAGGAAGACTTTTGCAACGCTGGCCCTTCCATTCAGTTGTCCCTTGTTCCTCTTTTGCTTCCCATACTTCTCATTGCTGAGATGATGGGTGTGTTTTGATGATTTCTAGATTCTAATTGTTATATAAGGGATTGAAGGCTCTTCATATGTACACTGTTCACGTCCTATTCCTGTTTTACTGTTGTTGAATGATCTAAAGCAGCTGCCTTTTATATAGCAGAGCACATTTTGGATGCTCTTTTCTAGCCAGTTGATTTTGTTCATCCAAATGAGTAAAGATGATTGATGACGTTCTAATAGTTTCTTAACACAAACATGTTTTACTGTTCAATAAATGCAAATGTCAAACATCCGTGGTTTCCTGTCTTGTGCACGGTCACTATCGCATGCAATAGAGGGCGCTGTTTGACTAAAATGCGAGGCTGCTTTACTGCGCATGCTCAGAGTTCCGCTGATCTTCACGTCAACCTGTAAAATAGCCAGTGTTGGGCAAGTTACTTCCAAACTATAATACTACAGATCCTTCGAAACTGCAATGTGTTTACTTTTATTTTAGGATGCGCTTGTCATCTCGGTTTCCTTTCCGTGAACTTTTGCAGAGCGCAGCGCCACAAAAATGAACCAAACTCAGCAGCATATTTTACATTATTCTCTTTTTTCTTTCGTTTTGTTAATCTGTTAATTATTTGAGTCAAATATATTTCGCGTATTAATTCCTTTTATATGTAGACTATGATTTAATAAAAACAAATTGTTATTTTTAGTTAAACTTAACTTCTGTTGCTTGTCTGCGCTCATCTGCCGCATTCTTTCTCTTCTCCGACCCCGCAGTATGGCCATCTCACAAATGTAGAATCCGTCTCAGTCATCTCAACCATCGAATTACAGCAACAGGAAATAGACAACGTATTTTACCCGTGGAATTTATTGTCTGGTGCTGTTTTGCGGTGTTGGTAAATTCACCACTTAATTTTTTGTTAAAATATGTTGTTGTAACGTGCGTTACTGAGATTGTAACGAGTAATAATATTACTCAAATTTTATTAGTAATGCGTTATATTACTGCGTTACAGCAAAAAGTAATATACTACTGTAATATCGTTACTTTTGTAATGCGTTACTCCCAACACTGAAAATAGCTTATCCGATCTTTTTATTATAAAGATCTGGGACACGTGCTTTCCAAGTCCAACGTGATTGGACCGCTTGCAACCTCGCGTTTTAAAAAAAAAAAAAAAGTAGGGAAGTGCACAAGCTCGTGTTTACTTCCCGCGGTGCGTGCCATTATCAAGAAGTGTCGATAATTAAAAACGGGATGTTTGTCGCGCGCAGCATCGCAGCCGATCATAAAGATCTGATCCACGATGTTTCTTATGATTTTCACGGGCGGAGAATGGCGACGTGCTCCAGCGACCAAAGCATTAAGGTAAATGGTTTATAATCCCATGGCCTGCTAGAGTTTGTTTGCAATGCATGCCACATATGTGGTGAACGAGCATGCAGTAAATTAAAATGACGTGAATATGACAAAGTGTGCAAGTCTTTGGGTTTTGCATTTTCTTTTCTTCTTCTCTCTCTTAGGTGTGGGATAAGGGTGGTAATGGAGAATGGAGCTGCACAGCCAGCTGGAAAGTAGGTCTTACCATAAAACAGTGGTTCTCAAGCAGGAGTCCTGGGCCCACTAGGGGGCATCAGCAAACATCCAAGGGGGCAAGAGTATAAAGCATATAAATTAATCAAGTTATTAATTTATTAACAATTATAATTCTAATCTTATTGAAAATGCACAGCCAAGTTTGGAATCTTATTGTTATTATTATATTGAAAGTAATGTAGTTTACTTCACTGTAGTTTTTATTGAAGAGCTTTCAGTTCTTGAAACTTTTGGAATGACAAAAATTTGTGGTTAATTTAATATGTCAACACCGTCAGTTTCTGTTAATAAAGTTTGAAAACAAGCAACTTTGGCATAATTACAGCTATACTGAAAACATTCTAATATCTTAAGTTTCAATATCATTCAAAATATATTGTGTTGGAGGACAGTGGGTCAAGATGGCTGAGAACCACTGCCATAAGAAAATCCCAAATCTTTATTAAACAGACGTGTTCTATATGGAGCAAATAAGGAGAGATGGTGGTGGGGAAAAAGTATGAGATAGGAGGAAAAATCTATACAAATTTGTGAGAACTTTTTCTCAACATGTAGTTCTCACATTCAGGCGGTTTACCAGTTGGATTTTGGTTATCATGAATTGGTGTAGACTCAGTGTTGGTCATCATAATCAGGTGTCTTGGGTTTTGTGCTGTACTTTGACAGAAACTTGTGTTTTGTAGACTCACAGTGGCTCGGTTTGGAGAGTGACCTGGGCCCATCCAGAGTTTGGACAAGTGTTGGCATCCTGCTCCTTTGACCGTACTGCCATAGTATGGGAGGAGATTGTTGGAGAGTCCAATGACAAACAACGAGGACAAAGCCATTGGGTAAGAGATCCTTTCTAGTATCTGCATTTGCCCTAAATAAGTTGGATTTGATTAGGGTTTATACATTTAGGAAGGAGGCTTCCTAAATAAGAGTGGCTACTATGCTAAGTGTACTCTTCTTTGTCTAGTGCTTTTTTTTAAGACTTATCTGTATAATATACTGTATATATTGCACAGAAAGCTGTTATTCTATGCCAAACATAGCCTGTGCATAACATTTGTACATTACAGCAGTCAACATTTATGTCTCCCCTGTTCTCACATCAGATAAAGAGAACCACACTTGTGGACAGTCGGACATCTGTGACCGACGTGAAGTTTGCCCCGAAGCACATGGGCTTGATGCTGACCACATGTTCTGCAGACGGGGTGGTGCGAATCTACGAGGCCCCTGACGTGATGAACCTGAGCCAGTGGTCCCTGCAGCACGAGATCTCGTCCAAACTCTCCTGCTCCTGCATCTCCTGGAACCCTTCCAGGTGAGAATTCACAAATGATAGATAAACACATCTATATGTGAATAGATGTAAGCACGCACACCTACACAGTTGTGGAGTTCGTTGCAGAATCTACTTTGCAGATGTGCACAATTTGTAACTTGATATATCCTGCATCTGAAAGTCTCAGATAATTGAGATGAAGTTGGGAATCGACGGCGTTCTCATTAGATCTGTGACTGCAAATTGCACAGATATTTTACATGCTTGTCAGCATCGAACAGTGAGGTCAGACGCAATAGCAAAAGTCTCTTTTGACTTTCAAGGCATCTCAGATCACTTTTGAGACTACATTGTCTTGGTAAACTGAATCAATGAATGCACCTGTTTGATTAATAAAAATATATTTTTTGTCTTCACAGTTCCCGAGCTCATGCACCTATGATTGCAGTGGGTAGCGATGACAGCAATGTAACGTATGGTGGCAAAGTTCAGATATACGAGTATAACGAAGTTACAAGGTTTGCCTTTATCCTTTTATAGGCTAGTTCACACTCATCCAGGAAAAAAAGGAACATCAACATTTTAGACATTCTGAAGTTGGATTTAGAATGGTGTGAAACACAACTATCATTGTCACACTGACCTAAGAAATACCAACAGTTCGCACACAAACCTTTCACACATATCTTTTATGCACATTTTAAATACGTGTTTTAACCTTCACAGGTTGGATGTTTATTTTTTTACTTTATTTGGATGGTTGTAGGAAATATGCCAAAGCAGAGACACTGATGACAGTTACAGATGCTGTACATGATATTGCATTTGCTCCAAATCTGGGACGGTCTTTCCATGTACTTGCTATTGCAACCAAAGATGTGCGCATCTTCAAACTGGTTCCACTTCGGTGAGCAGAATGAAACCAAATGTATATTACAGTAGAATGGGATTAATATAAATTGTGTAGTGGTGCCATGTATTTGTCTTTACTGTTTAACCTTGTACATCTATACTTTTAATTATATTACTTACTATAATATTCAATAACGTTAAGGTTCTTTAATAATGCAAGCTTTTTTTTTGTAAAGCTGAAAATTCAGAGATATTTGGTTAAATTCTAATTAGATGCCAATAGATCATTTACTTGAATTTGCTTGCTGCTTTTTGAATAACAGAAAGGACGGCTCTTCTTCAGCACCCACTAAATTTGAGGTGCAGGTGCTGGCTCAGTTTGACAGTCATAACTCTCAGGTTTGGCGGGTCAGCTGGAACATCACCAGTACACTTCTGGCTTCCTCTGGTGACGATGGTTGTGTGAGACTCTGGAAAGGTGAGGGTTTGTAATAACAATCATCAAAAGAATGCACCTACTGAAGTGTTATTAATTATTCATTTATTGTAATTTGACCATTTCACCAGCAAACTATATGGACAATTGGAAGTGCACGGGCATTCTAAAGGGAGATGGTAGTCCAGTATCTGGTCAGCCTGGAGCGCTGAGCGGCGTCCTGGGATCTGCTACTGCACAGAGTGCTCTAAACGGGGCCACTGGAAGATAGATGCCATATGACAGGAGCCAAATCTGGAGCTGAGCACTTCTTTGATACTGGACTTTACACTGAGACCAACTGATTGTGCTTGCTGGACATGCAAGAAGACTGGCACTTACCATGGGTCGATTAGTATTATTATTATTATTATTATTATTATTATTATAAACTGCCTTCAATGAATGTTCCTTAAGTTGACTTCCCTTTCAGTCTATGGGATTGTTTTACTCCGGATACAGACTGAAAAATACATGGCCTTTTTGCCCATTTCTGTATTTTGAAATGAGTCGTGTTTAAATGGATGTTCTGATCCCGAAAAGACACCATATCTATTTCGGAGGACGTGTTTTATTTTAATGATGTTTTGTTGACATGATTAATGAAAAAAGATGCTGCCATTACAAAGCTGCGAAATATTGGTCTAATTGACTTCACTCTTGTGTTATTGTATGAGAATCATAAAGGTTAAGGTTTAAGCAGCTGGTATATATGAAGTATTCAGAAATATTTGAGCTTGTTTTATTTGAATCATGCATTTCTACTTTATTAGTAAAATAGGCGATAACAGTATAATAATCCTTGCTAGGTTACTTTTGATAGATGATTTGATTTCTATGTATGATGAAAAGTTTCTGTGAAGAAAAAGGGAAGTTGTATTAAATGCCATGGTGTTAAACACTTCAGCAGAATTGTTTTCTTTTACTATTTAAAAAATAGTGGATTGAATATAAGAATCTGACTGGGCCTGAAAAAAAAAACTAGAAATGTTCTTACCACCACACACAGTCTAATTTTGAAGTAGTGACATTAAAACATTTTCTGGATTTTTAGTGGTTCAATAAGCAATATTTTCTACAATCCTTGTATTTGTTATTGTGTATGAGAACACATCTTGTCCTGCACTCTGGAATGTTGTGTATGGTTTTAAATCAGAATAATTATTTCTAGTCTTAAATTTAATCAGACAGTCCAAACGTGCCTTTAGGTTGAATTACAATGTGTTCAGTTAGCAACTGTCATGTAGGGCTCACACAGCTGCTAGACTCAGCTGCTCTGTGGATCACATTTCACGATCTCCTCGTTTATGTGGAACGTCATTTGTGTAATTTCGAAAATTGTAATTACATAATCATTTAAAACATTTAAAATGTTCGATCGTAAGATCTGTACAACCAATTAAAGTCATCATGCATTCCGAATTTTTCTGCTGTAACTACTAACTGTAAAGTATACACAATGCAACGCTATTTAGAACCAATTTATGTAAAAATGTTTCCAACAAGCAGCTTCTTCATTCAAAACACACAACAACGTGATTGACACATGATTTCGCCACTCTTTGAAAGCAGTCAAAAAGGATTGTCCAATGAAATGTGCCGTTATGCCGAAGCCCCGCCCACGCAAAGAGAAACCTAGAGGCGGGATTCTCCCGTAATGGCTTCATTTTAACACTTCGACAAACACTTCTCAAAAAGCGGGGAGGCCACTGTAACTGCAACGATTTTTAGCATTACACGGATTATCGGTGCTGTATTTGCATGAAGTAGTTGAATGAACTACTTTTATTAAGGCACAAGTGCCGCTTTTCCCCTCATGGTAAGTTGTCTTCGAAACCGATTCCTCTCAGCTGTTGCAAATCTTTTTCAGAGTTGTTGTCACTCTTTAGTTTTCATCCAACGACTGGCCAAAAAAAGTAAGCCCGAGCCAGGAAAAGGGTCGTTTATTGTTTAAGTGATATTTTAAGTGTTACTTTCGTCTTTGTTTAACTGTTTAAGTTGTGTGGTTGAAGTGTTTGTATCTTGGCCTTAATTAAGTTAACGTTAGTCTCCATTGCACGGCGTTTATTTGAGTTAAACAGCCCGTTAACCTGATTTGTTTAGGTTTTTATTCAGTCCTCCCAAAAAGACTGTTACTCCGCTATCAGAAACATACTACAGAGGTTAATGTGTAGTTAAAGTTGTTGGTTATTGAACTGATAAAGCTAGTCTGCTAACTACAAACGTCAGATTAAAAGACGCAAATTCTAGAGAAAGATGTCGTTTTTTATTCAGTTAAAATGTGCTTTAGCATTTTTTTTTTGTAATAAAGCAAAATGCAACAGGAACTAGCAGCCATATCGACAGATTTAAGCTCTGTGTAACCGTATGATTTATAAAACACCCCGTTATGTCTGATTTGACACTGTTCAAGAGAAATAACATTATCCAGTTTCGTATTAAATTGACTTGATGCAGACGTTCACAGATTCATGGCAGTCTACCATGTCCAGTAAACACCCAAGTACAGTATGACAGTATAATGTATCACCGGTTTCCTATAGGAACTCATGATGTGGCCTGTTCACTCTTCTGTTTTTTTTTTTTTATAGGTCACTCCTCATGTGGTGAAGCCCTGTGAGTCACACAGACATGGAGAACTTCCGAAACATTGAGGATGAGCCGTTTCCCAGCTTTCTTTCAAACGCCTCGCTGGGCAGTAGCGGCCGCACCACTCTCGGCAACGTGACACTGGGCTCTACGCTCGGGATGCCCATGGCTGCCTCTACCTTGGCTAAAATTAGACCTCCAGTAGACAACAGGTGGGAGACTCCTGCATGTAATCTCATGAATATTGTGATATTGTGTGTCTGTCCTAACTAGGGGAGAATGTTGACTTCCTCAGTTTCTTTGGTGAATCTTTGAAAAGGGTCATTTCATCTCATTTGGTCCAAAAATTATAAAGTTCATTGTCTGCCAGATTTTATTTTCCTCAATTGTTTGAGTGATTACCTCCTATATATTGTTTTTGTAAAACACCAAATTTTCATTTTTATTTCACTTGGTTTAAACCATAGCATCTGTCTTTGTGTCATGGCCCCCAACAAAGTTTTGGTATATAGACATTGTTTACGAGAATAGTCTGAGCTTCTTGGAACAAGGAGAATCCCTAATGCACATTTACTGGAACATATTTAAATATTTTACACATTCTTGTTCCTTAGTTAGAACTTGAGTCCAAATGTAATCATGCATGCTTTCTGGTTTTATTTTATTTTAATCAAGGGTGAGAATGCTTTTTTTTTTCCAGACAGACCTCATTGACAAGCATAAACTGTTGTATTTCAATCATAAACAGTTTCTTTAAAATACTGTTCTTTTTTTATTAGTGATGCACCGAAATTATTTTTTTCCAGAAACACTAACTGAAATTAAAGTTTTCATATAACAAAAATGCTCCTTCTAGAGTTATTTTCCCCTCTTGCTTACAAATAAGCTGTGAACATTGACTGACTATTATTCTGAGTTAAATGTTACCCTTACAAACTGTATTATACGCCTTTCTGCAGTTGAAATGCTAATTGAGCAATTACTTGAGGCATGAACATTTTTAGCAAGTCCATACTCTTTCTTTTGAGATTACGAGTGTGAAAATGGCATTTATTGTTTAAGTTTCACTATGAATTTTATTGTTCAGGAGTGTATTGTTTTTTTGAGTATCATATTGGTTTACATAGGAGAATGTGGAGCTCACACTTGAATTTCGTTATAAAATTGACAGAATTCGAAAGTTCAGACTTTTTCATATTAAAGTTACAATGCCCAAAGCTTATTGTAATTATTGGATGAGAGGCATGCTACAAATGATGTGTAGTGAAGTTTTGTTCACGCATCAACTTAAAACAGCCTAAAAGATCTCTGTTCATCAAAACAAAGATCGACCCTAACCTGACCCTAAAAGTGTAACTTTGATCATTACGTTTGGACTTAAGTTGTAAGTCTAAGGAACAAAAATGTGCAAAATCACACTAGAAGTAATCGCTCAAAAAATTAGGAAAATTAAAAAAGGTCACGCAACCTAAGACAGACCCAAAGTTGTTCTTTCAAAGAGGAAGAACATTTATTTTATATGTGAGTTGTTGGTCAAAACACTGGTGCTTTATTTATTTTATTGACTGGTTGGTTAGAAATTTTGAGATTGAAATGATTCGCTAGACTAGCTCATGTAGGTTCAGGGCACATATGCTTTACTTGTATTGCTGTTAATTTTGTCTGTGTTTATTGGAAGTAGTGTGTTATTTGAGAGTCCTTTTTGTCTTTTACAGAGTAACTGATATCCAAGCATCATATTTAGAGGATGGACAGTTTTCACTCATGCATTCCCAAGGGTCAGATGGAGGCAGGGAAAAATTTGTTCTCAGCCTCAAAGAAGATTTGTAAGTGTTCAGCAGTTGTTAATTATTTTTTCCCCATCTGTAAGTGGGTTACAAATCGGTGTGACCTTCAATTATTTTCTGGTTAATTTTTTAGTACTTGTTAGGGATGTAACGGTATGAAAATTTCATATCACGGTTATAGTGACCAAGGTTATCACGATTATCAATATTATCACGGTTTTGTTCAAATTAGATGACCTCTTTAGATGGCTGAAAAATCTCCCGAGCGCTGTCACTGCCTTCCGCCATTTCGTCTCGTGCAAAAAACAACAACACTGCATGCTGCTTCTGCGTCAGACAGATGCTGGCTGGACAGGATTTACCGCGAGTTTTCAAAATCGCAATAATCAAATACGGTTTTGATGATAATTCAATTTTAAACGATAATACTAACCGTCAGGGCATTTTATCGTGATTTATCGTGAAACCAGTAATCGTTCCATCCCTAGTACTTGTACTACCTAGTTATTGTGCTTATAATAGTTATAGGCTATTTGCTCTAGTATAAGTAATCAGCCGATATTTGCCAGTTTTAAGATTAATGGCATTGACAGAACTGCTAGTTTTCTATTTTGTCTACAAACAATCTTATCAGTAGGTCAAAAAAATTTTCTTCAGCTTTTGAGTTTTTAATAAATAATGTGTGTAATGTAATGTTCGTGTGACTTCAAGCTATTTTGTCTTGTTTTCCTTCATTAAGTTATGTTATGTAGTTTTGAATTTTAAACAACATTTTTTAACATTTTATTGGCCATCAGCCAGATCTGGATTATTGGGAAAACCTGTGTTGCTTGACCGAGTGTGTTCTTTCATTACTTTTTTTAAAATTAATTAATTTATTTTGTTGTGTAGAGACAATGTAGGTGTCTTCATTGCTGCGAATCGGTTCTCTGACCTGCTGGTGAATGTTAATTTGGATGAAACCGAATCTGCTTCTGTTTCCAAAACATCATCAGGAGGGGTGGCTGCTCCTCTTGTGTCAGGTTCTGTTCCTCATCAGACTTCTGGTATGTAATCTGTTTTCTTTAGTTTTATTTAATTAAGGCTTGTTGTTCTTAATTTTAGGGTAAAACTAATGTGTCTTACTGATAATGCATGGTCAACAATTATTTACAAAATAGTGAATAACATGTATAAACTGAAAAATATATTTTGAAATGTATATTTTATCTTTCCTTAGACCTCTCAACTGGTCTTCTGTCATTCTCTCATATTGGAGACAAAGATACATTGGCAGCTCAGGTAATTTTTGTGCTCATTGACACTTGAGCACATGAAATAACAGTCAGAAAAACTTTATATCATATCTATATGTCTAGAAAGTAAGATGAAATTCTTATAAATCAGTGAGATCTTTGTAACAGTGCAGCAGACTACTTGCATAAAATGCATATAAATATCAATTGTCACTCTATCTGCTAGCAATATGTCTTCGTAAGATGATAATTAAATATTTTGTTTTATAATAAAAGCTCTACAGTTTTTATAGTGGGGGCAAAACATATAATGCAAAGCAAAATGTTTGA